CATGCCTGAACATACCGCACAGCTTAGAGTGAACACTGGTGGCAGCAGGGTGCCAGGTATCTTGACTGATGTTCATTTTGGGTGCTTAGACTTAGATACTTTTAAGGATCCTGAACTTCAGAAAGTGCAGGAAAAAAACAGGGTTCTTCATAGTATGTTAGATGGGTCATTGAAATCACTAGTCACTCTATAATAAAGTTTTGCCTTATCCATTTCATGGCCATTACTCTCAGCTCATTCTCATTTTAGCTCAGATTTACCAGTAACAGTCCCTTCATTATTATTTGCATTAATCATTTAGATGAGCATTAGTGTCACAAAGCAGTGTTTCTAAAGAAAAGAATCCTTGTGCAAAGCAACTGGATCACAGCTGAGAATCTGGCAAAGAGCTGTGCTTTGCCTTGGAAAGAAGTGGATTGTCAGCTCTAATTATGTGTGTAACAAATGGTTCTACTGCAGGGAAATTCATACCAAGCCAGAGGGCCATCACAATGCTCATGCAGCCTTTAACTTCACTTCGTTTAAGTTCTCAGATAGGACTTTGTTCAGCTTGCATTGGTGTCAGTGGTAACTGGATCAAATTTGCAAGGTTTAAATATGTCCTGTATTGGTTTTCTGTATAGGTTCAGCATGACTGTGTCAAATCACAGACCCAAAACCTGTGTGATCCTCCCCGCCAGCATAATGGAAATAAATATGGCCAGATGGAAATAAAGAATAGGGGGAAGGAGGGAAATGAAATGTTGACTAGGTGTTTTAGGAGTGTAGAATTGTTCCTAGCAGAGAGCTAACAGGGAAGGATGCAGGTGAGTTGCCCAGGGACTATGAGGAAAGTAATTTATCTTCATAACATGTATCTGCAGGGGGGGGTTTTCACACAGATACAGGGAGAATTGCTTGTCTGTGCCTCTGTACATGAGCGTATCAATAAAAAAGGTGGAACTTGATCATTTAAATCACTGTGAATTGGTATCTCGGAACCATAGTGCAAAGCATGATCTTGCTGTCAGATTTCATATGGAAGAGGCATTTGCTTGTATTTTTAATCAAAAGAGAATAGGAGCAGCTGAAAAGCTGAAGAACGAGAAAAAGATTTCATGAGTATTTTCACTGCTGTGGATTATTAGCACAAAAATTGTTCCATTGTGACATTTTTGTGGAATTTTGCACTACTAAATCTTATATTTTAATCCTGAGTGATGCTCCAAGTTGCATTTAACTGTTGTTCATGCTCAGTAAGATAAGCACTGTTCCTTTGTCTTTAGAACAGGCAAAAAAGTGACAGTGAAGTGACAGCAAAGCCAGGAAACCAACAATAACCAGTTGCAACATGGAGGTAGCCTTCTAATAAACTTGGAGCAGAATCATGCTCAGTATATTTTTGTACTTGTAAGAGAGAAGGCTGACTAATAACAGAGGTCATGTGTTGACCAGTTTTTGCTGTCCACTTAAATGCTGCTGAGAGTTTGTGCTGGATGTTAGACAAGTATGCCATATCTATCCTGCCTCTGTGCCAGACCTGGGGGATTGCCTTTGAGAGGAACATCCCACTGCTTTGCTCCCACTCTTCACACTCTAACATCCAGAAATTAGGAGGTGGGGCTGGCTTAGAGTATGCACAACAAAGCTTACCTAAGGCAAAAAGCCTGAAAGTGACTGTAAGTGCACACTGAGGCCTACTCTACCTTAGCTTCATTACCTAATTTCTGATTTTTGTTCATACTAAGCAAAAGTGGGTGCGTAGGGCATATGTTTCAGTGATATAGGAGGACCAGTAGGATAAGACACTGATGGGAGAGATATAAAACTCTCCCACTTCCTACAGGGCCTTGTAACTGAGAGTCTGATTCCTGCTGTGGACTACTTTGCTGGACTTTTGGAGTCCTACTCTTGCTTTGTACCTCCTCCCTTGATCCTGTCTCACCTCTGCCTTGGACCCTCTTGCCCAGCCTCTAGCTTTCTTTGATCTTATCTCTGCCTTGGGACCCCAGTACCTTGCTCCTGCCTATCTTAGCCTGTGTATTGGATTCCTGGACTTCTGGTCTGGCCATGACCACAGAGTCACTTGCCATCTGTCATGATCCGTCAGGCCATCTGGTATTGCAACCTGGGCATCTGGACTTATGGTACAGTCAACCCATCATTTTTGAGCCCTGATTCCCCATGTCTGGGTCATATCTGTGACAGCTCCCGGACTTGGCACAAAATCTTTAAAGCTTATAAGACTTTAACATCTTTAAAGTCTAATAAGGTAGACTTTAACCTTTTAGTCATTAAAGACTAATATTTTTTGTGATTATTTTAAAATCCAATCTAACTTTGCCCTCAGGGACATGCTGTCTTTCTTTTGTGTTCTTATTCATGTTTTCCAGAGGATGCACTTGATTTTAATTAGCATGGCTCTGATTTCTTCATCAGAGTTGTAGTTTCTTTTCCCAGACCCAGGTTGGCATTCATGCAGAAAAATCATCTAGATTATCGTTTTGATAAAATAAAACCAATTTAGGGATTGTTTCAGCTTCTCTCTTCTTCATTTTGGTTGTTTTTACATTATTCATACAGGAATGACTGGTTGTCTCATGCTAGTTGTTCCAAATAGAGAAAAGATGGAGCTTGTAATCATCACAGATTGTGGATATTTATTCAGGGTACCTCAGGCTTATCATGCACAAAAGGAGCAGTGGCCTGTGGATAGGTAAAAGGCTTCAGCTTCCAGTGTGCTCCAATCTTCCCTCATCATTTCCGAATTTGTTCTGAACAACAAAGTGTATAAAAGGGAAAGTGATTACAAAAGCACAATTGCACTACTTTTCCCCAACAAATCAGGGAGGGAATTTGCATGTAATAGTTGTTCCTGCCCAAATGTTATTCTCCCCTTAACTTTATTCTGTGAGGTTCAAATAGAAATTGCATAATTAAACAAAAAGAAGAAAATACGCACACATTTTTTGAATCTGTAGTTTATATCTGCTTTGTACAATAGCTGAAAGTACATGGCTTTGGTTTGGCCAGAAAGCTGCTATATGTAATTTCCAGGAGGCAGACACTTCATGTAACTGCACTACAGTCAGCACAATTAATTGAAGTGACATATTGAGGCTTCCAGCATGCAGCTTATAATCTTGAGGGTAAGAAACATTTATAGGGGGACTTAAACAGCATACATGAGTTGCTGCCATTTTTCATAAGTCTCTTAAGAATTTTCACGATAATGTTTTAGTTGTTTTTGAAGTCATAAAAGTTTTTAACTAGCAATCAATCAATATATTCTAGATCAAAGGGAAAGCTGATCTTAATAATGTTGTCGTTCCCCTTCTATTCTGAGTTCAAATCCAGTGGATCACAGTTGGTAAACTCATTTCTTCCTGCTAGAACTCTGTGCTTGCTTTTTAAAAGCTTTTAAAGGTAAAGTGACATATTTAAAAATGTAGCTAGTGTAATAAAAGCCTGGGGTAGGTTATAAATGTGGAAATATTTGTTGACAAGTAACAGTGGCAAACAACTTTTTGGTTCTTCTGCATTGTACTGAGACCCAAATCTTAATTTCTACATCATCCTTGGGAACATACTGTTTAAATGTCAGTGGATTCCCAGGTAGTTCTGGTATACAGATGTGTTTCTCCTGAGCTGTTTACTTTTCTTTCATGCTGTAGAACTATGGTCTAGTGCAGAACAAAAGCCAGGGTAACAGTTTGGGAGGGTTTTTGCAGAGCAGGCCAGGTGAAGTGTAGCAATTTGGTATTGGATCCACACTGAGTGCACTATCCAAAACTGATCCTTTAAAAGGGCTAGGATTCAATGGCTGTGGAGATTACTGCAACCCACAGTTATTATAGTTGGTGAAATTGAAACAAAGAAGTATTTAGGTTGGATAGTAAAAACACCTTTCTATGTCAGGTGATAAGTATTGGACGAGATTGTCAAGAAAGGTTGTTGAGTCTCCACTACTGCAATTTTTGAAGTGAAGATTAGACAAAGAGTAGTCTGAGATAGTTTAGACAGTAATGTTTTTGCTTTTGAGTGGTGGGTTGAACTAGATGCCAGCTGTTTTTTCATTGTGTGTGGCTCCTTTAAAGACAGGCAGTCTGTCCCCTACCTGCTTCAGGAGTTGGGGAAATATACCTCAGCGTTGACCCTGCTGTCTGAATTAAGTAGATGGCTCTTCACTGCGCTCTCAGTATGAGGATTTTTTGGCCTGAATTATGTATATTTGACTGACTTTGCATTAACCAGTGTTCAGCTAAATGTGGTGCAGTAGTAGGAAAATGGTATATGACACACAATTAATGCATAGCATTTTGTGAGGTAACCATCTGACAAAAAAGGTCTTCCCTGACTACCAGCTTACTTATCTCTGCATGACAATGATATCTTTTTATGAATGATGACCGTGTGTGGCTGACAAAAACAGGATGCACAGTTTGGTGCACTGGCCATTCAATTAAAGTACTGGTACTGCTTTTTTCAAAAGGTTGCTTCTCAGTGGACTGGAAGCATCTTGCACATTTCTGAATTTGATAAGCTCTTACTAAAAGCAGCACGGTGAATTATACAGTAGTATTCCATTCATTATTTACCATCTCTTTTTAAAGTCTGTCACTATGAAAGAGATCTGGCATACAGTATTGATTCTTGATAGAATGCCCTGATTTAATCAAGAGAGAAAACAAAGATAAAAAGATTGAAACTGTTTCTCTAAGTTATAGCTCTGTTTATTATTAACAGAGTTCAGAAGTTGCATTATTTCTTTCCCATCTATTCAGATGTCTCATGTAAATTAAGAACAGAGTACTCTTCACATCTCCTTTTTAGATGGTTCCTTAGTCTGTCTTTACAACCTGGTTTATTTCCTCATTATCACTCCTTTGTAAGCCCAATATTATCAACAGTGAGATACTTAGCAGCACAGAATAAAATAAAAAGTAATGCAAAGGCACAACGTTGTCTTATTATAGTATTTGGTTAGGTTTTGTATATGATAGCTATTTTTAATTTTCCAGGTGCTGAACAGCATAGAGGGATCCATGAGTGTACAGGCAGATTAGATGCATCAGCAGCTGAAGGTTTGTCATCTGCTTCATGCTGCTACTTTAAAAAGTATTCTCATAGGTGTCAGGAACTGTGGGAAATAGATCACCAAAGTCATTTCACTTAAATGAAATAGCTATCGTATGAGAGTGAACATAGATGGCGAAGGATGTGTGCTGTTGATCTGAAATTTATTTGCAGGTATATAATTAAACAAAGAGTGGTCTGGGATCTATTTTTTACCAAATGTGGTTGTGGTATCTGATTTCCTTACGTTTTTCTGTATATTTTGTTTTGAGAAACACTTATCTTTTTCATATTCGCATAAATATGTTTAGAAGATGAGAATTCTTTTTCCTAGAAAAAGTGATGGCATGAGGTTTTTTGTTTATTTGTTTGTTAGGTGTGAGCTAAACCCAGACTCCAACTTGCAGCTGGGACAGGATGGGATGTTGAACTTGGAGCAGCTTTGTTAGTTTTGTAGCTTCCTTCATGTATAGCCACTAGAGTACACCAGCTGCTGTCCTGGTGAACCTTTATTTCCCTTGTTGAAATAGCCCCAAAGGGATGTGTGCCCACAGGATTGCTAGCCTGACATTGCATCCACTCCCCCAAATTGTCTCTAAGGCGTTTGGGCTTTGCTGGGTGCCACATGAGACTGGGAGGGAATCCCATCCCCTCCTGCTGCTGCACCTGTCAGGGGGGTTTTAGGGCTGTTGGT